GCTCACTGCTTTTGTCTCATCTCGGCCTAGCGTCACACAATCATCTCCAGCACCGCTACTCCGTACACCGGCCGGGCATCACACGCTCTCCAAGACTCCAAGTACTTTTCTTTTACTTTCTCACTCTGTACCTTCGCAGTAACACCTGACTTTGCCTTACGGTAAGAACGGTAAAGAAGTATACTTCTACAGGTACTCCGTACCGCCAAAGGGAAAGAAAAGGAAAGAACAACAACGACATGTCCGTCAGTCCCATCTTGAGTCCCCGGCACTCCCCCGCCTGCGCCCAACCCAAACTGCGGCGACTTTTTCCCTCTCGGACCTTGCTCACACATCACCGTCTCATCTCTGCTCACCTGTCCAGCCTACTCATTGGCTCCATTGCCTCTGCGCCCCCTGTTGCGAGTCAAAAACAAATCGAATTGGTTCCCGTCTCGCAGGCGGCCTTAGCCCCCGTCGTCGACTTTTCCAGACCAACGGTCCTATCTTTACAACCACACTTCTCGACAGATCGCCGTCATTAGCTCGCGACTATGCCTAGAGTCTGTTCTACCATTTGCCTTTCTTTCCGTTTGTTGTTCAGCCACCCGTCATACAAACTCTCAACTCGCGCGCGAGCTCACACACACACAGCCTCTCGGCATCTCAATTCCTGAAGCAAGGCCCTTCTCTCGCACACACACCTACAGGGCTGGGGGACGTCAGAGACGGGAGGGGCCCTCTCTTTCTCTTCTCCTCCCCTCCACAGTCAAAAGTCCCAAACGCGAGAGAAGCGAAAGAAAGAGAAGAGTATGGGATGGCCCGGACAACTTGCTGATCCGGGCGTAGGGTGAACAGACAAGGGCAATCCGCAACGAGGAAATCAGTGGACTAGAGCGAGGGGCGCTGACTAGTCGCCCACTTTCTTGCCTCTGCAGGTGCTAAAGCTTGGCTTCTCATTACTTTCCCAGTCTAAACTAATCTCCTTGTTGGTCCTCGGGCTCGTTTATCTGCAGGGCCGCTGGGGTCCATTCCCATGCTGCAGGGCTCCATCTCTTGGGCCTTCCTCTTCCGAACAGACGGCATGCGCCCGAGAGGCACCACTGTCTTTCAATGTCTGCTGGTGTTCGAATACGCTGATGTTGTTTTCAGTCGGAATTCAGTGACAGGTCCGAGTGTGTTTTCAACGTCACCATTCAGAAAGACAACTCCCGGAAGAGACAGTCCCCTTCGAAACCGTGTGAGACATACATGTTCAAGCTTTTCCAGGACAATGCGCCAGACTAGCCAACAGGAGACTCTGAGACACGGGGAGCGGGCGAAGTGGATTGATTGACAGAACGAACGACGGCCAATTCTGAACTTTCGCATTCTTCCCCCCTTCCACCACTGAACATATCCGATGTTTTCACCTCAGCATGGTGTCATCTCTACGCTACTTTTCCAGGGTCCGCCTGGTACATCCGTCTTTGTTGCGAGCCAAAACCGCCTCAACGCTCGGGCAAACCGCTGTCTCTGTAACTCTCTTCCCAAAGGATGCACTCGGGAATCCAAAGACGGTCGTTTTGAGACGATTTTGCCTTTGGTCAGCACCCAACTTGCTTCTTTGTTCAATGCACTACCAACCACGTGAACCCGACAGCCTCCCGATCTGGCTGGCCTGGCGACTGGTCCAACCGCCGAACGGAATTTTGGGATTAGGTTTCTTGCGGCTGACTTTCTAGGCCATGTTGGTGGAGATGACGAAGCCTCGCCGATGCGCAAATGGTTTCCCATCGCGTGTCCTTCACAAGCCACCGTCCCTATGCTCTGTGCCGAAAGTTCGTACTACCATACGAGATCCAGGAACACAAATCGCCTTGTTCGTTTGCCTCTCTTCTGCCCCCATCGACTAGTGTCCTCAGTAGCGCCCTACCAGCTGCAAGGCACGGGACTACGGTGGCTGCGGGCAGTGCATCGCATGTCACGGCATGGCATGGAAAACGCGGGTGTTCCGCGTGCCGTGGAGCCGTGGAGCCGTTGAACACGAAGGAAATCCTCTTGCAGGTGGTACTCCGCCAGAAATCAACCATTTTGACGCCCCGTTACTGCCTGCCGTCCCCGTGACTGGCTCTCTACGATGGGGTCAAAAGATTGCACTTTTACCACCGGCCCAGCATTTCGTATTTCGGCCGGGTGAATGGGTCTTGTCTAGCAGAAGTGCTTGATTGTGATAGACTCGCAACCCCCTGCTGGCCCCCACATGCAAATTATTACCTCACTCACCAAACGGCCCCCATCTCATTTGGCTCTTGGCGGGGAGAGTATTTCACTCACTGACCAGGGGGGCAGCTGATCGGTAGACACGGCCCCGCCCGGCACCTTGCTTCCGTGCCGTGATCGGCTCCGACGGCCGATCTTCCCGACCCACCTCGCCGTTTATGGCATCGCCACCGCATTCCTGCCCGCGCTATCCGGCATCTACAACCGAGCCTTTGCATTCCAATGCCAGCTCTATGGCCAATTATGGCTTCGACCCCAGATTCCATGACCAGGCAAAGGTGCAGTCATAGTATAGAGCACTTTCCAAATTACCATAGTCCGGCAATCGGACCCCTACCGATTGATGGCTACGCCTGGCTGTCATCCTGATCTGTGTTTCTAAATTAAGCACCGCCCTGCCACTGGCGTTGTTTTGGCAAGTTTCCGGATGCTCTTGAGAGGCTTCGCCGGCACGACATGCAAATCTCAGGGCTCGGGGCTAGTGCCGAACCCACAGATTCAATATCCCGGCATCTCTGTACAACTCGGCAGGAGCCCCATCTGTGCAGACATTCCGAACACTACATCTGAAGATCGACAATCGCCATCCAGATCAGACTAACACATGTGGAAAGGGTTCTCGTGGCACGCGGGGAATGAACGGAATCGTTGCCGTGCTCACAGGGCTGCGCCACGTTCTGAATGCCTTCGCTGGCTAGTGCAAACTCTTTCATGTTGAGTGCAATCTGCTGCCAAGAACTGAGATACTCGTGATTACGCGGCCCCTTGTATCGAAAGGCGGTCGAGTTCAGTTGTAGTGGGTGACTGGCTCAACCTCTCATGGCTGGAACTTGGAAGAGCCTTGACATGTGTGCATGACAATTAGCTATCTCGGTAAACGAGATCTCGGCGGCCACGATCTCATTGCCGCTTCCCGAGATGTCTTCTTCTCTTGAAAAGGGGGAGGCTGGATGAGCACTTCCACGGATCCCATAGTAGTCTGGCAGCCCTTGGAATAGCGTACAGAATGAAGAGGAAGATGAGCTGACGCAAAACGTTTCTATTTGATCACTCTCAGAAATCATCTTCTCGTTTGGGGAAACGGAATCCTTGCCAAAGTTGTCTGGCAAATCTTTGATGTCATTGGACATGAGTGGCTAGATCCAGAGCAGCACATGATTATTAATATCTCTCGTACTGACAGGTTTCTCTTACTTCGAGGGGATGTGTCCAGTATTTGCAAAGACCTCTTGTTCTCTGGCCCCTCCGTCTCTTTCTTCGACCATCATCTTGAGATCTCTCTATATGAGCAATATTTCGAGTCCTAATATAGCAGCATTGCGCTTATAGCTATCTACGACTTCCACTTGTGAGTCTATAGCGATCAAGACGCTGACCACGCCATCTCGAGTGGAAGGTATGTTAGAACTTTGCGAGGAGGCGACAACATGATGGTACTTCTCTTCAGGTAGGCCATGTGTTGTTCATGAAAACAAATTCACCACCAATCATTGATTTGAAGTTCAATATAGTGCCCGCTAGCAAAGAACAGCGGCTTCGCACTTACTTTACTCAAGATTCCTTACGAAGCAGCGTGTAGCGACGATGCTTAGAGACTAGCGAGCTCCTGCATGGAGCAATTATGATGTAAATCTACTCTTGAGGACGGGGAACAAAGTCATCATATTTACATAGCCTATGTGAGGCATTCTCATCTGCTATCATGTTGTGTTATGCTCCTGAGGTCTACAGTGGCAGATGAAAGAGACGGTATCCTTGGTGACAATACTCTACGATCATGATTTGATGGTTATCATACGCATGATGAATTGAGGGATGCAAGCTACCCAGAAGAGCCAGTGATTATAAATTAGCTACTGAAAGAATATGGCTGTTCTTGTGAGGGAAAGTTCGAAGAGGATATATGCTAGAGACTTGCGACTATGAAGTTGTCCTTGAGGAAGTGGCTGGTGCATCAGTAGCTGACTTCCAAACAAGGACACCATCGGTTGAATACTGTACATATTCGAGTTACCGTCTTATAGTCTTTAGTTAACATCCAAGCCTAGTCTGTGATTACGAGCCTCCAGCAGGGTAGGTCTCCTCTGTGGGTTGGATCCTCGTCCAACTGTTTGGGCCGGTGCCGTTAAAGATGCCAATGGGCAACATTAATGAGCATCTGGTAGTTGACTAGGGGAACAGTGCAGGAAACATTTAATGTCACCGACGGCGTATAACCATGAATGGATGACGAGTATCCGAGTTATGATCCCGCCATCTCGCGAGTTCACAAAGGTAAATCATGTACCTAGTTAGGTAGCCAAAAGTAAGATATCTTTACAATTCGATCATCACTCAACTCAGCACTGGCGACCCGGCAAAATCATGTCTAAGAATGCTCAGCTCCTGCGATTCTCAGAGTACTACCCACGCTTCTTAAAAAGCAAGTGTTCACCATGCAACCAACACCTACAGCTACCGTACTTCATCAGCCCAAAAGACAACGGCCTGATGCAAGGGAGCAAATCAGAGACACAGTGAACCCTGCCCCCAACGGGGCACCAACACACCGCCCCCGCTGACTCAAGGGGCGCCCAACATTGACTCTTCAGCGGCACATGCCACCCCCAATTCTGCCGGCAGAAGTGAGCAAGCACCTGGGCTCTAAGCTCCCCCCCCCCCCCCCCCCCCCCCCCCCCACCACCATTGGATACCTTACCCTGCCGCGCAGCCTCGAAGCACAGCGAAAAAAGTGTCACCGCATCCATCCCCCATTCCCCATTCCCCAAACCCTGATTCTCATTCGAGGCTCGGCTTGTGACTGTCCAGACCGCCCGCCCGCCCCAACCCGCTCTCATCCAGTCTGCCCCTCCTCTCCTCCCCTCCCCCCTCCCCTCCTCCGACCGCCGCCGTGCCCGTAGCCCGTAGCCCGTAGCCCGACCTCTGAAACTTTGAGGCTAGTTATTTTGCTCCCTTGGAGCCCTTGACCGATACTCCATCTAATGTTGCCCCGCCTCCGACCCTTTACCCACGCCTTCTCACGACAACCTCCATTGACTAGATTCCTACCCAAGAGTCAACCGTTTCGTTTTGCAACCACAATGGCGCCAGGTAAGCTTCACTGCCACCCTTCGTCACTTCCATTTCGTAGACCTCCGAGTCGCGGCCCAATTCCCCCTCTACCCCTCCAACCTCTGCCTCCCTCTCTAGACAATCCAAGACCACCCTCTCCCCAGAATCCCAAAAACAAGAAAACACAACTCTACAGCAATACTAACCCCTTCAAAATGACAGTCCTCCCCTCCGACCGCAGACCAATCGTCATCTCCGGCCCCTCGGGCGTCGGCAAGGGCACCCTCTACAAGCTCCTCTTCGAGCGCCACCCCGACTCTTTTGCCCTCTCCGTCTCCCACACCACCCGCGGCCCGCGCCCCGGCGAGGCAGACGGCGTCGACTACCACTTTGTCACAAAGGAGGCCTTTGATGACCTCGTCAGCAAGGACGGCTTCGTCGAGCACGCCACCTTTGGCAGCAACTCGTACGGCACCTCAAAGGCTACCATCGAGGAGCAGTCTGCCAAGGGCAAGCTCGTCGTTCTCGATATCGAGATGGAGGTAAACACAAAACTTCTACCACACCCCTCCTTCCGTCCTAGTGAAAGTCGATGAGGCATCGTCATACTAATATTGGGTTCCAAAATCCAGGGAGTCAAGCAAATCAAGACGTCAAACTTCCCCGCCCGCTACGTCTTCATCGCGCCCCCCTCAGAACAAGAGCTCGAGAAGCGCCTCCGCGGCCGCGGCACCGAAAAGGAAGAGAGCGTCCAGAAGCGTCTCGCGCAGGCCAAGCTCGAGCTGGCCTACTCCAAAACCCCTGGCGTCCACGACCTGATCATTGTCAACGACGATCTCGAGAAGGCCTACAAGACCCTTGAAGACTTTGTCTACAACCCCTCGCAGTAAAAGGGTCGACAACGACGAAGAAGGCGCGCGAGAGGGAAAAGAGGTTGGATTGGGTGATACGGTGATGGGGCGTTGGGAACTGAATATCCTTTACGAGTTCACAAAGTCTGTGGATCTTCTTCATAGCACGGGCGGTCATTGTGGGCATATATACACATATGAAAGCGTATAAAAGCAATCTATAGAGCCACACATACGTGCGGCAGAAACCTCTGGCCATACTTTGGGACAGAGGAATACACATCATCAAGAGCATTGGCGACCGCAAATCATAAGCCATGTCGGTTGTATTCCACGAGGTATCGAAACGAACTCTCTATCAGAGTACGAATGGATTAAAGTGTAAGAAGAAAATGGGGGTACAAGTGAAGCCGAGCTTGAAATGCTGCTTTAGAAAGCAAAAATAAGAAAACAGTAGAAGTGCGTCCAGCTGATGAGGCGGAAAGGGGGAATATTGGACTATTTCGCCAGCACGAGTACTTAAACAACGACCATAAAGGCTAGAGAAGGGGGTATGGCCTATAACCGTGCGCCACGCAAAGCATGTTCGAGCCTCCCATGCGAAATCGCTTCCGCCAAGTTGTTCCCATGAATGTAGCAGCGGCTACCTCCCTCTGAATTACTGGTCGATGCAGCATCCGCATGCTGTCGAGGCCGTACCGTGCCTGTTCTTTTGTTGGTCTGCGCATAACACCATGAGATTGAAAGTCATCAGAAACCCAGCTGCCCAGAAATATCATGGCCGTCAGGCTCCTCGAGTAGGTGGGGTGGGATATCCGTAAACTAGTATCCGTTCAGGGTCATTCGTTGAGAGTTCCGGCTGAGCTCGCGGTCGGCAGCAGGACTGATGGGTCTGCTACCGCCACCGTGCGCGCTGCTCTCCTTGAGCGCAAGCAACTGCTTGGCACGGAAAGTCTCGTAGTGAATCTGCGAGGTGGTCTCGATGAGATCCTGGAGATGGGTGCGGAGAAGGAAGTTTCTCAGGTAGACGAATTCGCAGTGGTTCTCGTCCTCAACGTTGATGACACCCCATCGGTTCTGGCGACCGCGAACCTGCTTGCCGTTGACAATGATGGACTTCTCGGAGCCAACGACGGCAAAGGGAACGAGATCCTACGAGACTTGTTAGCAATTGGAATATGTGTGGGCCGGATGGCATAACTGACCTTGATCTGGGTGTTCAGGCTGCGCTCCTCGTCGTCAAACTCGTCGTTGTCGTACGGGTACATCTTGAGGTTGTGGAAAGCGAACTCCTCCTTGATACGCTCCTTGAACTCCTGACGCTCCTCGAGGGTCAGGGTATCGGACTTGGCGATGACGGGAACGACGTTGACGACGTCGGACAGCTTCTTCAGGACGACGATGTCGATGGGCTTCAGGGAGTGACCCGAGGGTTGGATGAAGAAGAGGCAGGCATGGATGCGGGTGTCTTGAATGTAACGCTCTCGCTGAGCGGTGAGCTCCTTTCGCAAGTAAGCGGAGTGTTGGTCCTTGATGTACTTGACGATGGGATCCCAGCAGCGATCGTTGTTGACCAGGTCGCCGTATCCGGGGGTGTCGACGATGTTGAGGCGCAGACGAACACCGTTCTCCTCGATCATGTGGGAGACGGCCTGGATCTCGGTGGTGGAGCGGACGGGCTCATCGGGCATCAAACGACCCTTGGAGTCGATGAGGTGGGAGGCGAAGATGGTGTTGATCAGGGTCGACTTGCCCAAACCAGTCTGGCCTATATCATGGAAATACGAGATACAATCAGTCGACTGCCGACGCGACGTAGGGGGACAAGCAGCCAGCTTGCTAGGCCAGCGACTGTGATCTGGCATTGCGGGGGAACAACTTACCGACGCAGATGACGTTGAACTGGAAGCCTCTCTTCAGGAGCTTCTTCTCAATCTGGGACGTGATGCTGTCGAAACCGACATGGGTCTGAGGGAAGATGGTTTGAGGCTGCGCCATTGTGACAGCTTTTCCGCAAGGGAGCGAGAGTGAAGGGTGCGCGTGAGTGTGGTGCTGCTAGGGAGTGAAGTTGAGATACGTTTCTGTATTCCAAGAAAGGTATCTGGTACTCGAACTCGAATTGCGGTCTCGTCAAGGAGGGGAGGAGGGACGGAGACGGAGTTGGAGAAGGCGATGGGCAGGGAGAGAGAGGAAAAAGAGGATCACGAGGTTGGCGGATGTTTCTGAAGGACAGAAGCCGGTGAATGAGCCCAGGTGGGAAGTCAACCACAACGAAATGATTTGGCCCAACCAAGGGTAATTTCCTCTCTTGCTGGCACTTGCTTGCTACCCGTCCACCCCCCCAGTAGCCCCCGTCCACGGGTGTCTTGTCTGCCAGGCACTGGCTGTGCAGTGTCGCCGTTGGCTGCAGCTAATAGGATGCTCCTTCCACTCCAGCAAACAATAATTTCCCTGCAGGGAGGTGCAGGGGGGTGGGACACTGTAGTCTGTGGGAGGGAAAGGGGAAAAGGGGTCTCCATCGCGTTGATTGGCTAATGGGGGTCTGTGCACCTTCAAAGCTGTGATTGGCTGGCAGATCTCAATTGACAGCTCCCCAGTCGCAAGCCGTTTTTTTTTTCCGGCTCGGAATGGAACAAGCTTGAGCCTCGTGATGTGCACGACAGTGGTGTAGCAGCTTCGACGATACCTACACTTTATCGCGACAGGACAATCACGCAGCCACCAACCCTCGATACCCGACGGCAGACATCCTTCGATCCACCTCAACGCCGTGATTACATCAAGGAACGGGACCACCTCCGGCATTCCTTGACTCCCGTCCCCGACAACCCCTCCATCAGAGCTCGAATCGATCGATCACCAATCCAGAAAAAATGGCAGCCATCGCCATGGGCGCGCAGCCTTTGCGCATGGCCTCCCTCTTCCCTCGCATCTCCGCGCCAGCCTTCGCTCAATCACCAAGAATACTCTCTCTCTACACGCGCCAAGTCACCAACTCTTTTCTCCCGGCGCTCTCCTTCGCGCTTCCGGCCTTCAACCTCAACATCCCCGCCTGGCTCGGCGGCATCTGGGAGTCCATCTTGCGGGCGGTACCCAAGAAGAAGACCTCCCACTCGAAGAAGAGACACAGGCAGATGGCAGGCAAGGCGTTGCAGGACGTCAAGTCCCTGTGCAAGTGCCCAGGCTGTGGCCAGATCAAGAGGCAGCACATTGTGTGCCCACACTGCCTGAGTAGTACGTCTCCCTTGCAAGAGTCCTTTTGTTGGCATATTAAACTGACAACTACTGTGCAGAGATCAAGGACATGTGGAAAGAGGAGAACCCCTCAGGAAAGTTCATTTAGGTCGCCAAATGGGCGTGTAACATTTCGAGACGTGTATATTCAAGTGTACAATTGGTTAGCATACTGTGGCGTTTGGGACAATCCATCACCTTCTTACGATGTGCCTAGCTGTCATCTGACTGGCTCCGGTTGTTTATGCAACAGTGGAATTGAATCGAGGTGGTTCGAAGCGACGTTCGCCTGCCTTCAACGGCATGAATCATGGGCTGATCATATCGAGGGTCCCTGAAGCTCCTCGAACCTCCTCTGGAGGTTGCGAAATTGTTCATCATACCTGGAATCCGCCTGAATGAAGGTAGCGCGCCAAAGGACTCGAGTCCATAGCTAGAAGCGATAGGATGACAGGAGGATGCAGCTTCAAGAGAGATATTACGATGTGTCTAGCTTCGGTTCATCTACACATCGCCCGGGATGACGGCAAAGTGCAGGCTTTTGAAAGTCGGCGAGTCCATCACTGGGATATGGCAAACATATTTTGGTCGATGTGCTATCGTCTGCTCGTGTACACATAGAGATGACGCTCTAGCATTACCGGAAGATGTTGGCAAAACAACACGATTGCAGACGTGAAAACCGTCCGTAGACCAGAGGCAAAGTACTAGAAGTTTCTGGGGGCGGGTACAGCTTTCGAGTACTAAATACCAGAACTCAGTAACAGCACGGTCAGCCTCGATCCGTGCAGTTTTATTGGGCCCGGCCCACGGAGATGCAGCCATGGAGATTGACCTCGGCGATAAACAAAGATCACTTTGGGTCCTATTTTCTGTTGTAATCATTTGATAATCTTACTTGCCCATCCCAAGTTTATGGTGCTTACAGATAACTCTTGAGCGATCATGTCTATATCTTCCACCACGACTCTGATCGACTCAGGTACTACTGCCAGGCCTTTTGTTCTTCCTTTGACCTCCCCTTCCTGATGGTCTGGCCCCAATAAACACTGGTTCCTGATTAGATGGATAGGATCGATAAAGGCGTGTTATACCCAAGCAGGAATTGTAGACTTCGACAAAGACACACAGTTTTAGTTTGGTGATACTGGGGCATCTCCTTCGCTGTTCTCCACAAACAATGGATGGTATACGAGACAACAAGAACCAATAGCAAAGCCATAAGGAAGCCGTGCAAACTGATTAATCACAGCCAACTAAGGCGAGCAAAGATTCGATCAAAGATCTGTTGTGAGAAGTCGGCCTACAGGCAAGACCGCCAACTCTCTGCGTCTCAGGTTACCAGGCTTTATAATACCACGACTGCCTCCTCTCAAGTCAACCATGATTAGCAGACACACACACACACACGCTCATCTGACATAACCAAACAGGCATCGCATAGACGTGAGTACGTGAGTAGAACCGAAACTTCATCTGGTAAGTACGAACCATGGACTAAGTCAAGGTACCGAAATGACATCACTTCAGCTGCCTCAAAACAACTACAAGACCACCGGTCTGGCAGGCATCCCTATCCCTACGGAGCTCGTCCTGCAAATCGTCAAAGCCATGGGCCCGCGACCAAAGCCAAAGTCGGCTAAGCATATGATCCTTCATGATTCTCTTGAGGCCGACTCGGATTTAGATGGCTTGGAGATCGTGGAAGATTACTTCTACGAAGATCCCAATAAGTCAACGCCACCAGACGTTCTTGACGGTATCACCGACCTCAAGAATCTGACTATATCGTGTAGGGCGCTGTACGAAGTCCTGAAAGGTGAGCTTTACAAACGAAGTGGGCAAGAGGACGACTGGTATGCTCTTCGATGGGCCAGTTTCAACGGTAATATACGTGCGTTGGAAGCAGCTGTCCAGGCTGGCGCGTCAGTAAACTACGCATTCGAGAAAGCGGGAACTCCGACGGACATGGTGAACTATGGGCGTGTAGACAGTACCTTTGGCAACTTCCCCAGAATGCCGAGGTCAAAGACGTTCAACTTCGGCACGCCTTTGCTTTCAGCAGCGTATGGCGACGCCACCCGGCGACATCAGGCGATCAAGTGGTTGCTCGCCCACGGCGCCGATCCAAACGTCGCGGATGCCAACGGCATCACTCCACTGCATGTCGTGTGTAGATGGGGTATACGAGCCAGCCTGACCGTCGAGCTCCTTCTTAAAAAGGGCGCGAATGCCAATGCTCGAGGCCCTCGGGGATGGACACCTCTGCACTTGACGTGCTACTCGCGCAGATGGCATCCCGATCCGGAGGACCCTCGGCGTCTGTCTCAGCAGAAGCAAGACCTGGTCATGATACCTTCTGCAAGGGAGCTGATCAAAGCAGGGGCTGACTTGCAGGTAAGGACGACCGAAGGTGGTGCGAAGGAGTCTGGCGAGCCTTGCATCTCTGGTTTGACGCCGTATGAGCTATCTCTCTACTGCCAGAACATTACAATGGTTGAGTACTTCCGTGAGCAACAAGCGCTTCATTCGGAAGGCTGGGTTGATCTCAAGGGCTGAACTTTGTAAGTTTATGGCTGGATATTATTTGTTTGAAATAGCACCGTGATGCGCACAGAGAACTCGTGGGCGTTTGTACTTGTACGAAGTGTCATTGAAGTCTAGAAACGGAGAAACGTAAGTGGGCAGCACTGACACTCATAGATAGGCAAGTTTGACATTCTGCAAGAAGGGAGGTAGCCTTAAAGCTGTAAAAGTAAGTCATCCAGCCAATTTTAAGACAATTTTGAGATACATGACTAGGTAATAGGGGATGAAAGAGTGAAGTTGAATCAAGTAGAGGTGCTGAGGTAAACTGAGCAAGGGTGCTTGCTGATGCCCCTCCATTGCCCCTCCTGCCGTGCCCCGGCTGCTCTCTGCAGGGGTCTTTTCTCGCAAATGTGTGATGTCAGCCCCCACCTTCCCGACCACATCGCGCTCGTTACCTTCCCACTCACAACCGCGCATCAACCATAGCGGTACGAGCTTCACATGGGCTGGGAATCATGGTACGACCTCAATTTTCTGCTTGTATATGAAGAGGATACTAACTCTGTTAGTCGAAACAATACCTGACCACACACACTGTGGATAATGGTGAGCTTCCCACCAGCTGGAGCTTGAGAAACCTCCGAACTACCGTCTCCAGAGCTTCATCTTGCTAACATGCAGCAACGTTAGCCCACATAACCGACATTTTCAGTCTGGCCACTACTTCAAGGGCTGTGTTGTCTGCGAGCGGCTCATCGACTCTCCACATCCATGACACCTCCGATCCCGCGATCCCCATCACGCAATCCATCAGCGGCGCACACAAGCTAGGCTGCCATCACATCTGCACCTCCCGCAATGGTCTGGTTGCCGCGAGCGCAGGCTTCGCCGGTGAGGTGAAGGTCTGGGTCATCAACAAGGACACGAGCGAGTGGAAGCTGCACTCGGAGATCACGAACAAGGCGGCCAAGGCCGGCGAGGTCTGGGCCATTGCCCTCAGCGAGGATGGAAAATTCCTGGCGGGAACGACCTATGACGGCCGGGTGAATGTGTGGGACGTTGGCGAAGAGGGCACGCCCAAGATTAGAGAGTACGAGACGGGAAGTCCTGGCCAGGGAAGCTTTGGCATGTCGGTCGACTTGAGTCGTGATGGACGGTACACTGCCAGCGGCCACCAGAACGGGGCTGTCTACGTCTTCAACAACGACAATGGGAAGTTGTTGTTCTCACTACCAGGTAACCCCCCCCGAAAGGTCCACTCGTAAGAATTGTTTGCTAAAGGGATATACTCAGGCCTGGTCAAATCTGTCCGCTCTGTCGCATTCTCTCCTGGAAACACCAGGCTCGCTGCCGCTGGCGACTCATCTATCATAGCTCTCTACGACATCAAGAATGGCGAGCAAGTCAGCAACATGACTGGTCACTCCTCATGGATCACATCTGTTGACTGGAACGACACGGGTGAATACCTGCTCAGCGGAGCGATGGACGGAAAGGTCAAGGTCTGGTCGGTGGAGCGTAGTGCCTGTGTCGCGACGCATAGCGAGACGGATAAGGCTCTGTGGGCTGTCAAGTGGCTTCCAAAGACTGGAAAGAACGAGTCTTTCTGTACAGCGGGCGCCAACAGAAGCATTTCATTCTACAGAGAAGCTACTGGCGCGTAAAGGAAGGGAGCCTAAAACTCAAGCAAAATCCGGCGTGCATCTAGAATACCCTGGAACATGAGGTTTTCCTGCGGCAGGTCCAAAGACAGACGATAGAAGAAACATGCTGCAATGACCAATCATGATGATGAGGACAGTGCCATGTACGGTGCGCGATCATGGAGATCACAGTACTGGTCACGTGCTTTGGCTCCAACCTCGCGTTGCCCCGCCAAATTAAAGCCCCTGCCACCTTCCTACCTCTTTCGTCATTCATTACAACCCAGCTCTGGTTCACGGATGACATTGCGACAACACCCATTGGCGACATTATTTGAGGCATTCACCCTTCATCGATGATATTTCGGATCCATCAGATTACCGTTATCAATATCTCAAATTTCCATACATCTGTCGCTCAAACTTGACGTTCTCATCGCCGCCCACCTAGACCCTTTACAGCTGTACTTGCGACAATTCACACTATGCCAGTCACCAGGCGATCAACAGGAGGAGGCCGCGCCAGACCTGGCCCAGCACGAGGGCAATCTACCATCAGCTTTTCCAACAGAGTATCGAAGCCCGTACCCAAGGACACCAAGAAAGCCGTCGCTCTTTCCTCTGCCATTGACCGATTGGATGTCGCCAAGCCAAGCAACAAGGAGCACAAGGACGATGTCGACGAGATCCAGATCGAGGATCCCGCAACCCCCGAGGCCGAGGAGGTGGAAGTGAAAGAAGAAGTTCCCCAAAAGTCGGAAGCCGAAGTGAGGGCCGAGAAGATCAGCGACGCCCAGATCAACAAGTACTGGAAGTCGATCGAGGCTCAGCGCATTGCGCCTAGGGTGCACCAGGGTGATGTGAGTCTGGCTGAGAGGGTTTTGCGATACTTTGATGTCAGTTCTCAGTATGGTGTAAGTTGTTCAGTTCAATCGCAATTGTTTGCTGGATGGGAATACTGATACAACTCATAGCCCTGCATCGGACTCCAGCGCATGAAGCGTTGGCAGCGCGCGGAGAAGCTGGGGCTAAACCCGCCAATCGAGGTTCTTGCGGTGCTTCTGAAGGAAGAGAAAAAGGGTCACGCTTCGGAGCGGGCTCACTTGGACGAGCTCATGAACTCGACAGCGGTTGGAGCCTCATGATTGATTTAGAGATTCCCAGCATACCTTACATGCAAAGCATCTAAAAGGTCAAAAAAGACAAAAGAGTTCACCCCCCCGGTGCTGAACTGGGGGCTACATCTCTTGGTGCTCAAGCTGGGATTCGAACTCGCACGCGCTGAGCCTGTCGTCGAGTAGGCTGGTTGGCGGAATCAATTGTTGACCATTAACCATTCCACCACCTAGCCAGTTTGACCTGACCCGCCGACCTAGACGGGCGCCTGCTGGTGACAGGAATGGACTTGGAGGGGTATATGAGGGCTCTCGCCGTGGCGGGGAGGGCATCGGATGAAAGTTTAGTTGTATATTCGTGGACCCTGGGTGCCGAAGGGGGAAGGCGCGGGTGGCTGACCGGGTGACCGTTGAGGTGCCCCCTTCCCCGCGGGAACGTTGTGTGAATAAGTTACGATGGAACAGACGGAGTTTGGAGTTAATAACGGTGGCTTTAACGGAGCGGGTATTTGAGCTCACGGCTCGCGGGAGGATAACACGAGGCATGCGACACGAGGGTTTTGCTGTGTAAATTATCACGCGAGATGTTCTATGCTGGACGACAGCGAACATGAATTATACCCCTTGTCAGAGGTGTTAGAGGTCTCTCCGTCTCGGCCATAACATGATCAAGTTGTTCTAGTACCAAATACTCCGCGTCCGGTGATGTCCTACCGTCTCTGTGCCAGCGGCCTCCAGCTCCTTCATGGTATCATACAAAAAGAAATCGATCAAAATGGCATTGACGCTCGTTCCGGGGTGGTCCCTCTGGATCTCCCGCTTGATGAGCTCAACGCACCAAATACTGCACGCTGGTTTCATAGTTAGCATAGTAAACGATTGTGGAATCGCTGTCATCAAGCTCACCTCTCAATTGCAACTCCAACCTCGATCCGCTCTCAATAACTCGCTTATCAGTGATAGCCGTCGCCAGCGAAGGGCTATAGTACAGACATCCCATGGTGCTGAGGATCTGCGGGACCCGGTAGTCGGCGAACATGGTGATCTTGTCAATGTCCTTGAAGGCACCGATGCCCTCACCGCCAAAGCAGGCCCAGATGTCGGCCACGAGAATCTGCGCTCTCTTGAGGATCCTCACCGGCTTTCGGCGGCCGTCGAACTTGTGCTCATCGCGGAAACAGTCGAAATCGCGGGCGAGCAGGTTGACGAGCCTTGCGGCTGACCCGTTGGCGGCCTCGATGAGTTTCGTCACGCTGCAACTGTACCTCTTATACAAGACGGTGCCGGCTTCACGCAAGCACGCAAGTCGTTCCTCGAGAAGGGGCATCTCCTCCTCCGTCTTGGAGCGGAAGACGTGCCTAAGGACCTCCAAGTTACACTCGTCCTCGCTCTGCCAAAAGTCAGAGCTGGTGATGGGGATGCCCTCCTCGAGGGCGCGCTGCAGCGAGGCGACCATGCTCCAATAGCCAGTCCAGGTCTTGCCGCGGTACTCGACGGCGTACCTCTCGTCCTCGGGCTTCTCGGACCAGAAGCAGAAGTTGAGCAGGTCCATGGTGAAGATGAAGGCCGCGGTGCTCTCATCTTTGGTCTTTGGGTGCAGCTCATGCTCTGCCCAGGTGGCGGTGGAGTACTTCTTCTGTTCCATCTGAGCGTAGATGGTGGCGGCGGCCCTCTTTGTGGCCCTCATGTCGATGGCGACGTCGATGGAGTTGTCATAGACGAACTCGGCGCCGTCGAGGACGCCCGTCTCGGGCTCATCGTCGATGTTGAGCTTTCCCTGAAACCGCTGGCGGAGGAGGGCCAGGAGTTCGAGATCGGGCTCGTCGTCGGACATGATTCGGCGAGCTTACGCGAGTATCTAGTACCCCGCGATTTTATCGAGATATTGCTGCAGGCGGTGCCTGCTTGGAAAGAGAGCCGCAGTAATACGACCTTGGACCTAGACTTGGCTGCACCTTTCAGATGCTGCTAGCCGGCAAATGCAGGTCTTTCAGCGAGCTTTGGACGACGACGATGAGGGCAAGAATCGTAGGACCAGAACTTTGGACTAGGCGGTAAAGAGACCCATATTGCACTGACCCGTTTGTTTTTTGTTGGACCAAAAGGCGGGATCGCAAGCGGCGATTATCCCAGAAGCCCCTCCGGGTGACTTACGATCTCGTCACTTCAAGGATATATGTGAACCCCGTTTCTGAGCTTCCTACCAGTTGCTTTCCACGTGAAAGGGGGGATAAGAGGCGGCCCTACTACGAATAGAGAGGACCCCAAGAACCGGTGGAGGCCCAACGAACCTTCGCTGGTCGGCACTTCAAGCGAGGTCGGCCTGGGCGCCTTCCTTGTTAGGTACTTTCCAAGGTTAACTTCCATTGAGGTATGGAGGTGCCTTGGGTACCGGGGGCAGGCGTCCAGTGTTTCACGGTGGCTATAGGATGTATTATGTACTTCGTAGGCCGCTGAGGTTACAGCGTGCTCCAGCGCGCTTCCACTGGTAAGCAAGAGATACCCGCCTTTATCTGCCAATCAGAACTCGAGCGCGGAAGTTCCCCAGGAACCAACAGCTCCAATCCCTGCTGGGATCTCGTCACCGGCTGCCGGTATTGGCTGAGACCTTATGCTAGGCGATCGCTCCTTCCGCTGACCTCAGGGAAAACCTCAACCTTGGAACCTTCCTCCTCGCAGCCTCGCTCCCGTGCTGAAACCACCCGCCGCCGTCGTTCCATCCCACCTGCACCTGGCGCGGCTTACTTCCACCCGCAATTTCCTCTCCCCAACACACGCGATCGCATCAACCTTTCCCTCCAATCCATTGACACGTCGACGCATATATAACCGACACCTCAACAAGACTGCGATCGACCAAACGCCGATGGATTCCACCGCGGAAGCAGGAGCTGCACCTGCAGCAACCGCGGTAGAGGCGACAGTGCCCGCCGCGACGGCGCCTGTCCCAGCAGCAGCACCAGCACCACAGCAACAGCAGCAGCAACCAGCACAAACAGAGGCAACCCCCGCCGCTCAACCACCCGCGCAAACGACGCAGCAGCAACAGCAACAGAAGCCGCAGCTTCAGCAGCAGCAGCGGCCTCCCGCCGTGCAGACGCGTGATCGCTTCTACCAGCAATCGCTCGGCGGCTCGTTGAACGCCAATGTGAAGAAGGTATGTCGCAACCCTTGTCAGAACTCGGCGCATCAGACCACGCGACCTAGCTGCCCTCGCGGCTTCCACTCAACGGCGTTCCCCTCGTCTATTCCAGGAGCAGTCAATTTTTCTTGCGATGATGGAGTACGATGCAATTGCAGAGTCAATGGAGCTAACTTGCAACACGCAGGCGCGTGTTCTCATGGTTGGAGCTGGCGGTATCGGATGCGAACTACTGAAGAACATCGTGCTGACGGGTTTCGGCGAAATCCACGTCGTCGATCTCGACACAATCGATTTGAGCAACCTCAACCGACAATTCCTCTTTCGTCACGAGCACATCAAGAAGTCCAAGGCATTGGTATGGTTTCCAGAGCAGTGACGTAGATTTGGAGGTTGTTGCAAGTACTGACTTATAAAAGGTGGCTAAGGATGCGGCGCAGCCCTTCAACCCCAAGGTCAAGATCGTCGCGCATCATGCGAACATCAAGGATGCCCAATTCAACGTCAAGTGGTTCCGCGAATTCAACATTGTCTTCAATGCGCTGGATAACCTAGAGGCGAGACGGCACGTCAACAGAATGTGCTTGGCCGCACACGTTCCCCTCATCGAGAGCGGCACGACGGGATTCAATGGCAACGTCCAGGTCATCAAGAAGGGTGTTACCGCATGTTACGACTGCACGCCAAAGGAGACGCCCAAGTCTTTCCCGGTCTGCACCATCCGAAGCACCCCCAGCCAGCCCATCCACTGCATCGTGTGGGGCAAGAGCTATCTCCTCAATGAAATCTTTGGCACGAGCGAAGATGAGTCCGCGTTCGACAACTCGGCCGACGCCGATAACGCCAAGGAAATTGAAGAGTTGAAGAAGGAGGCCGCGGCCCTGAGAACGATTCGCGAATCATTGGGCACCGATGCCTTTTCGCAGCTGCTCTTCGATAAGGTCTTCAATGCCGATATTGTGCGACTGGCGTCGATGGAGGACATGTGGAAGTCGAGACGGAAACCCGAGGCCTTGGACTACAAGACACTGTCAGAGCAGTCGGCCGTAGCCCTCGCCTCGAAGGAGACTATTCTGCAGGGAGGACAGCAAGTATGGACGTTGGAGGAGAACTTTGCAGTCTTCGTCGACAGTCTGGATCGTCTGAGCAAACGGATGCTGGAGCTGAAAAAGGCGCACAAAGAGGACGCGTCTGGCCCTGAGCCTCTCATTACATTTGACAAGGACGACGAGGACACGCTGGATTTTGTGACCTCAAGCGCAAATATTCGTTCATCCATCTTCGGCATCGAAAGAAAGTCGCGCTTCGATATCAAGCAGATGGCTGGCAACATCATCCCTGCTATTGCGACAACCAATGCCATTGTCGCCGGCCTGTGTGTCCTGCAATCATTCAAGGTGCTCAGAGGCGACTTCACTCAGACCAAAGAGGTAAGGTCGAAAGTTTGTCCGTCTTGGCAGGAAACCGGTAGTCTAATGTCTGTCTGTCTAGGTGTTCATCTCTCCTCATAACCCTGCCCGTCTGCTCAACTCGAGCAAGTACCGCGCCCCTAACCCAGATTGCCCGGTATGCAGCGTATATCAGACGAGCGTCACTGTCGACATGTCTCGAGCGACACTCAAAGACCTTGTCGAGGACTTTGTGCGCCTGGAGCTTGGCTACGGTGACAAGGAGTTCGCCCTAAACAATGACGTCGGGCCGCTCTACGACCCAGATGAGACGGAGAACCTCTCCAAGAAGCTCAGTGAGCTTGGAATTAAGGAGGACTCTTTCCTTACAATCATTGACGAAGACGATGACGAGCCCTTCGTCAACGTCGTCATCAGCATCCAGGAATCGTATGTTTATCTGCTCTAACGCTAGTATACCAACCGCAAACTAACAACCACATAGCAAGGAGCCCCTGAGTGACAAGCCTGTACAGGGCTTGGTCGCTGACCAGAAGCCTGAGATCCCTCGCAAGCCTAAGAAGGAGACACCCGCCGAATCCAACGGCACGAGTGAGCAGAATGGCAAGCCCGCTGTTGAGGCATCGGAGGTGGCACCAAACCTCAAGCGGCCTCGACCGGATGATGGAGACGAGCCGATCGAAGCGAAGAAGGCCAAGGTTGTCGCTACCACGAGCGGCAGCGACGACGTAGTCATTGTGGACGATTCTACTGGCGGAGCCATTGTCATTGACGACGACTGACTGTGCATGGATGGGTCCACTTTCTTCCAAGTCAAGGGTGTCCCTTCTACGTGAATGGAGAGCTGCACGCCAGCTCAGACAGCACTGAGCCCGCCATCCAAGTTGAGGATGCAGTTATTGGCGTATGTGTTTTGAGCAAGAAAGACGGCGGCATCGGCAACCTCGTCAGGCCGCCCCAAGCGACCTAGTGGTATCCTCTTCTCGAGAGGTTCCCTCGACATTGCTGTGATAATTTGTATATTAGCTATTGGCCTACGTAACCAAAGACATTGGTGTTTTGGGTCCTTTGAGGTCGGGCCTGCAAATGGTGGGACAGATAGAGGGTTTCTTACCGGCAAGCATGTTGGTTTCTATGTAGCCAGGAACGATAGCGTTCGTCCTGATACGCAGTGGCCCCAGCTCGACGGAGAGGGCGTGGGTGAGGCCTTCAGCAGGGCGACACACAGAGGTATTAGACTTGCTTCACTAAATCGGGGAGACGGGCTAGAAAGGATACAGCCACGGCAACCCCGCGATGTATGAGAGACGAAGCAAGAGACCCAAAAAAAAAAAAAAAAGAAGAACATACCAATGATACCGGCCTTTGATGCGGCGTAGACACTTGTGCCAGGGCTGCCCTTTTCGGCCAGCAAGCTAGCAACGTTGATAATGCATGCTGGAGAGTGGACCGCGTGGTTAGCGGGGCTGTTGATGCAGTGCGTGCGTGTATGTGTGTGTCTGCAGCGCAGCGTTGGCATGAGGCTGGCGCATCTGTGCGGTGCGGGTGGGTGTTGCGATCGGATCGATCGTGTATGTAGGTTGTGTGGCAATGACGGTTGTGTGGGAAAAGGAACAGTTGGGAAAAGTGAATATGCGTGGTGTAGCGTTGTGCCATGACTTACCATCCCTGTCTGCGCGTCTGCGCTTCATGCGTTGTGCCATGTACCTCGACATGAAGATTGTACCCATGAGGTTTGTGTCGATGAGCTCTCTTGCGGTCTGTGGTGAGGTGTTTTGCAACAGCTGGAATTGCGCAATACCCGCGGCGTTAACAAGGACGTCTATCTGGCCCGTACGTTTCTGGAGGAAGGAACGGGGAAGTCCCTGTTAGTCAAGGTGTCTACTTATCCATGGAGCGATAGCTAGGCAGCCTCGTTTCTCTAAATGTAGTAGCTGAGGTGTTGTTGATGGCAGATCATAGATGGAGGTGTAAAAGGAGGTGGTGGAAAGACAAACCCAGATATCATCGAGGACAGCCTCATCACGAGCGTCAGCGGAGACGTCCATGACGGCGTAGGAATGGGCTGGTTTTGCCTCGGACGACGACGATGAGGCGGATGCAGAAGAGGTCAGAGGGGCGAGGCGGTCATCCCGGAAGGGCGGGAGCTGAGCGCAGAGGTCACGCAGCTTGTCCTCCTTGCGGCCGAGCAGGGTTACCAGGGCGCCCTCGGCGGCGAAGCGGGAAGCAATTGCGGCGCCGATGCCTCCGTAGGCGCCGGTGACGAGGCAGTGCCGGGCTCGGAGGGGAAGAAGAGCGCCGGGCATTGCGATGGTTCCGGTTCTCCTGCTGACGCAACTACTTGGGAATGGTTGTGTGTTTGCCGGTGAGTATCTTTCCTCGGTGTGTTGGGTATTCGAGTAAGTTACGTGGTGCTAGTCGAGAAGAATCGGGTAGTTTGGCTTGATGGCTGTATAATGTTTGTGGAAAGGGAGCACCGGAGCTTTCAGAGCTTTGGACTCGTGGACGTATAATGTCTACCTACCTAAGGTAAGGTAGGATGCTAGATGCCTGAGTCTAGAATTTTGGTGGGGGTGTCGTTGTACTCTGCATGGCAATCTCCGTGTAACCTTTCTAGAAGAGAGACACCCCCGCCTACCTAGTCAGCTACGTACCGACTCAAGGTAAGATACTTCAAGGCACTTACAGCCAAGTCTCGTGGTACAGCAGTGACGATACCTTGGTGACGACAAGCAATGACCAGTGAGGTCAGAGTGTTGTGTTCTCGAAAGGCAGAAAGAAGGGGCCCTCGGACTCGTTCAATGCAAATGCGAAATGGTCTTGGACATCTGAAAATGCCCCTCTCTGGCGAAAGACGGTAGCGCATACAGGATTAGACCAAGACAGGATGAGACGAGGGCGAAAGCTGTTAGTTCTGGGGAGATGCTTGTTCGAGGCGAGGTTAGCTTGGGCGGCCGTTGGTGTGTGTGCGTCACAATGGCATTATTTGGGGTGGTCCTGGTGGCTCTTTCTTGTCTGACACTTGTGTTGCTGGATGGCATTGCTTGTAAGGAGGGGAGAGGGGAGGAGGAATCTGATCCCGAGGCTTGGTGGTCGTACCTACCTACACAGTAGGTAATGCTTTCCTTACTTTGCTCGCTCCCGCCCCATTTCCTCTATCAGTACGTCTTTTCGTCATCTCAAGTTCAAGCTCTTTGATGGTGAGACAGATGTCCGTCCGCTATTGAGGTGAGGTGCGGTGCCGCCAGTGGACTCCACTCCTTCTGGTGCATGAAGAGAAGAAGAGAAGAGAAAGACCGAGTAGAGGGCCATGATCTCGTGCCCTTGTGTCTGTGGTTTCTTTCGAGGCCTTTGCGGTGTATTTCGAGTTGGATGTTGAAAAATATGTCGGAGGACGAATGGAATGTTTCCCTCTCTTACCCAAAGCACTTGTACGATCCATGTAAGTGGTTGTGGTGGCACAAAGCCGGGGAACGGGGAATCTCGACGATTGAGGATGGTGGAGGTGAGGTGGTCCTTAGAATAGGTACATTGACCAAAGTACTCCGTACCCGAAGCCTGTGAAAGATGAATGGACCTGGAAGGTTATTTGGTGACTTGTATCTTGGGGAGAGCTAAGGCGAGCGCCCCCGCCGTTGCCGATTCTTTACTACCTTAGGTACCTACAGGTATGGTGAGGTAGACAGCCTCGGGTGCGAGACCAAGGTGATACCGTACTAGAGATGGTGGGTGTCTTTTGTCTGTCACTGATGCTCCTGCTGCTGTCAGGTACCGATCCATCTGAGATGCTTCCATCTTTCCATGAGGTGTTCGTAACGCCTGACACAACGTAGCGCGCTACCTTAGCGCGGCACCCTTCCGTGCCAGATCTATTGTCTTCTTTTCCTACTTTCTTCAATCTCCCCGTCTTCTCAAGAATAACCCAAGGTACCTTACCTACACCGAGGAGGATTCCACCTGCCCGCCTCAAGAGGACCTCTCTGGTCCAGTGCTGAATAAGATAGGTACTTTAGGTTACCTCAAGTGCCTCATCCGGCGTCCCAAGAGTGACCCCTCCAGGGTAAAGGTACATTGTCTACGCAGTACCTCAAGGTCAAGTACCTTGCCCAACACAACACACCACCCAAGGTACTCTAGTGGTTCCAGTTCAAGTTCCAGTTACAGGTTCCCACGCCCGTTGGTGGCGCGAACGCAACATCGCAATCCCACTACCATCCAATTGCTGTACCAGCAAATTTCCCCTGCTCTTTCATCGTTTCCCTCCCACAACCTTGACGCCAAACCTCGCTCGCTTCCTGCGACATAATCACAACTCTCCAGTCGCTGGCGATCCTCTCTCTCGCCAAGCGCATCACTCGCTCCTCACCATCCTAGCGAATTCACCGCCGCCAGATGCCCTGTCGCTCGCCAACTCTTCAAGCAATTGCATCCGCAACTGCTTCCCCTCCACCCTAGACGCCTTATACCGAATACTCCCCTTACTCCCCCTCCGAACCTGCGACTCTACCCGCGAATACGCACCACCCAGACCCAACGCAACTAGAAGAGAACCGAACCACCCCGCGAGAAAACGAATGGCCGTATGCCTCAAGACCACGACCTCAGACACCGCCTGATGACTAGCCATACCAATGGCGCCGCATCCGCGCCGAATCCCCTGCCGGAGCGCCGCGACGCTACCGTTGCGAATCCAAAGCTTGCCGACCCTGCTGCTGTCGCCGAGGCCCCCGCCCCGCCTCTGATTACAGTCAGAAGCCCCAGTGACGCCCCCGACGCGGGTCTGAGGAGCCTCGATCATTGTACGCTGCTACACTCTCCCAGCTCTGTCTTTTGTGCTGTCAATCTGGTCTTGAGCCTGGCGCATCGCCAAGAGCACCAAACATCTTGCCCGCACGCAATCCTCCAAGCCTTGGGCCTTGGGCTGACCATGCTTGTCCACAGATAAGAGAGCGCTGCCACCATGGCGATATCGACTGCGGCAGTCGCTGCTGCCACTGATACGTTGGGAAACACCCTACCTGGCTTATCTGCAGGAAACGATGCGCACCCCATGGCTCGATAGTTACTTTGCGATCACGGCTAACCTCGGTACCCATACATTCTTCATGATCGGCTTGCCCATGCTCTTCTGGTGTGGGTACGCCTCTTTTGGCAAAGGGTAAGCAGGAATCGTCGTCCAGAGTTACATAGAACCTATCTAACTAGCTGCGGCTTCACAGTGTTATCCACATCCTAGCCGAGGGCGTCTTCTTCACTGGCTTCATCAAGGACTTCTTTTCCCTACCCAGACCGCTATCCCCGCCACTACATCGAATCACCATGTCCGGATCTGCTGCATTAGAATATGGCTTCCCTTCGACACATAGCGCCAACGCCGTGTCAGTGGCCGTATACGCAGTATTGCTTCTCCGGAGCCCTGACAATGCCATGCCGGAGACGACCAAGACTGTTCTCGAGGGCCTGTCTTATTTTTATGCCATTTCTATTGTTCTCGGTCGACTGTACTGTGGTATGCATGGCTTTACCGACGTCGTCGTGGGCTCGGTCTTGGGTGCTGTCATCTCTCTCGCCGAGTTCCACTACGGTCCGCCGCTGGACGCGTATATGCACAGCAGCTCATGGTGGGCACCTGTTATCGCTGCTCTTGTCGTCATCGTCCTCGTGAGGATACATCCCGAGCCCGCAGACGATTGCCCGTGCTTTGACGACAGTGTAGCCTTTGCCGGAGTTGTGATAGGCCTGGAGATCGGAACATGGTCGTATGGGCGGACTTCAATCGATTCGTTCGGAGGATCTGCCCATACGGTTGAGTCCATTGATCTCAACGCGCTAGGCTGGTACATTGTGCTGGCCCGCGTTGTATTCGGCGTAGTTGTCATCCTTCTATGGCGAGAGGTCATGAAACCTACCATGCTCAGGATTCTGCCTCACCTTTTCCGTCTCCTAGAAAAGGTCGAGTGGAACCTTCCCAGACGTTTCTTCACACCAGCGTCCATGTACAAGTCTATTGACCCAGGCTCAAGGATGGATACGCTTATTCCCAACGTCAGAGATTTGCCTCGCGTAGTTCAGTCCATTCGTCACCCGACAACACGTGGTCGCTCGGTATCGATCGGACCACAGAGTGCCGCCGATGCGTACGAGACACTTGCATACCGCGAGCGCCGACGTCGAGAGAGCATCGGTAGCAATGGCAGCATCAAGAGCAAGGGCAGTATGCACGAGCTTCGAGAGAAGAGCAGCGACTGGGAAGGGAAGGGAGCAACGTCTGGTGTCCAAGGCCATCATGGCAACTCACTAAACGACTTTGAGCGCATGATGGGTACGGGGAGCGTGCTAGCAAGCCCGAGCGAGGAGAAGGGCGAGGTGGAGCTGAGAGTCGGCCAGCAAAACGAGATGAGTGAGAAGGAAATGTTTCTTCGACTCATCCGTCCACGAGTACGTTACGATGTCGAGGTGGTGACCAAATTGGTTGTTTATACAGGTAAGTTCCGTCCCTCTTCCGCAAGATCCGATCTTGCTCCACTCTTGCTGACAGATGCCGATAGGTATTGCTTGGCTGGGCGTGGGCTTGATCCCAATCATGTTCGAGTTGATCGGCCTTGGATCGAACCATCTCCGCACCGCGTGAACCGACTCTTTTCCTTTGGGGCAGGATACGTTTCCGCGACCGACCGGGGGGTCACCCTTTATTCACATATCTCTCTTCTATAAACTTCTTGCATGGCATGTTGGCACAGCTGTACAGAAGATCTGCCGACGGGAGGATCGAGGGATTTGGGAAGAGACAGAGACGCATAGAAACTTTTTTTTTTTTTTTTATTTTTTTTTTTTACGAAGCACGATCACATTGTACATTCTTCTGGCAGTTGCATTTAGCCAGAGGCGGGATTTTTGAACATTTATTTTCACGACGGTTTTTCAGGCCCGTCACTTTCCTCCACCCCGCAATGAAATGGGCTATGAAATTTTTCTACTGGCGTCAAAAGGTGGACGGAAGACCTTATCCAATCTCAAGTGGCACTATTGTGTGATTTGTTTGCCGAGGTAGAAATATCGGAGCTGAATGAGAGAAGCCTTGTTGGCGCGTTACATCAGCTAAGGATTGTCTGCGATCCTTGGCCCTGATTTATGAGACGTGCACGTTGCCTTGGGCCACTGCGCCGGTGTGACTGATGAGTGCTGAGATAAGGGCACCTCAACTCAGGCAATGGAAGGTGACGGAATAAGGTGAGGTAGGTGTGATGCCTATGGGGGGCGGCAGGCATAGAGTGAGACCCACGAGAGCCACGCCGGCATACCTACCTATTACTTAGTGCGTTGTTTCCCCCAGAAATGCTTTGCAAATCCCCTCACCTTTCACTGCTGGACCGAACTCAACTCCATTACTCTCGACATTGGATGGAATGGAGGAGTCGTCCCAGCTGGGCCCGCCTTCAGTCTTTGCGACAACTTACCTGGCGTATTCATGTCTACATTGACGAGAACCTTGATGGCTCATGTTGAGCAAGTGATATCTTGAGCCGCGTGCCCCCGTCGCTCCCTACGCAGTGAGCTTACGAGTAGCTTCGACGATAATCTTGGTCGGTATTTCGAAAGGGGATCAAAGAGGTTATCTCAAAGGTAATGGGTAACGGAGCAGATCCAGCGTCAGTATCCACGAGCGTTGCCCAAAGTCTGACATTTCGAGGCAAGGTGTGCCCATCACGAGAAAACAATAATGACGAGCATCACAGGAAACCTAGCCATCGTGGATTTGTCCAGTTGGCGTCTTATCGTGACGGAGCAGACGTTGGATCAGTGACCTCATTCGATTCGAGGAGGCCAAGGTCTACGTTCGTATAGGAGTCGAGGCAAACCCCTCCCCCATGGTCGGGGACGTATGTGGGGGGTTCTGCAACTCGATCTCTGCGGTTCCAGCTTCCTCGCCCCTCACGCAGCGTGGAGAGTGCGGAGTCAACTGATGATGCCGGACTCCAGGCGGGCGCGGTCCGATAAGGAGTTACCACGATCATACTCGTTGGTACGAATACTTGGGACTCGAACCCGATCAACGTCCACGACAAGACTCGATAGCAATATCGGCATAAGTACAGCATCAAGAGACCGGACTCACTAGGGGACTTTTAGTGACAGTTGAGTTATCGCGGGCAGCGATGCGGAGGGGAGTCAGCCAATCCTCCCGCCTGCCCCTCTCCCTGCATTACCTCAGGCCGCTTCCTCCGCCGAGCAGCCAGGGTGGATTGGATCATCGGACGATCCGCTGCCGGCCGGCGGATGCTCTCGACCGGTAGGGCTGGATGGGTCACACCCACCCCCCTAGAGACTTTGAGACTCCAAAGTGCCATGCAAAGATTATCAGATCTTGATGCTTGTCTCTATTGGTGGAGAGGGAACGATTCACGATTGCGTCTCTGGCGCGATGTTCCCCTGACACCAGTCACTATCTGCCGGGAGCGACGGCATCTTCAAACACCGACGACCAGTCAATGACAAGGGACCCGCAACTCTCTGTGCGAAGTTACAGCAATTACAACGGTAAATGTCAGGGAGAAGAAGAAATTCACACAGAGACACGAAAGGACGATGACCTGCACCTTTACCCAGGCCCAGTTCCACAGGAACAACATCCGAGTCTATTGCATACTCTACAGAGTACTGGCTGACGAGTTGAACAACTTGAGCAAAGCCCTCGAATCATCAACGCAAAGACTGCACGTATAGCTGATGAACCGCCTATTTTATGGTTGTTCTGAGCCAAGCTGCGCATAACTCGCAATCAAATGCGCCGCTTACAACAACTACGCTGTGGTTGCAAACTCGACCTAAGCTCACGTGGCGACGTCATTTCCCTGCACTCCGGTGCCGGATTCTGCATTTGCCTCGTGTGCCTAAGGCACAGGGGAACCTCCCCAGTAGGGACTAGCGCCGATCTAATCAAGGTGGATCTTCCACTGGAAGCGAGGAACCTGGAAGTCAAGGGGAAGAGACTGAACTTGGAAGGCAAAAGAGGGAAGGGGGTCGCCAGCACTGCCCACCTGCCTGCCCTTCGGATGCTGAGAATTGGAAGGTGCCCGCGCAGTATCCGTACCTGAACCACCCGTTTTCCCCCCACAGCAAGCAGCAAGCAGCAAGCGCAGGTAACAGCAACCGCAGCCGCATCTGCCCGATGGTGCAGCTTCTTCCTCGACCCGACACCTCTAGTTTTTGGCTCTTTGCAACCGAAGCAAAAAAAAGAGAGCAGAGGCCATAACCCTTTCGAGTACCCTCGATACCTTGAAGATTTTCATCAACCGACGAATACCTCATTCCTACATGTAAAAGCCCTCTCTTTTTTAGTAGTAGCCGGATTTGTTTTTTGCCAGGCGCGGTGCACGACTGCCGACCTTACCTAACAGTAACCGTTGACCTTGGGAGGTGCAACTTCCGCCCTTCCTGCACCAGCCCTGGTTCATCAGCCCAGATTCGCCAAAAATCGGCCCATTTAGCGAGCCCGTCCAGCCAGACGCAGTTTCCTCAGTCCTCCCGCTCCCTCTACGAATACAGTGGCCAACCCCCCGCAGGATCTGATAGCCAGAATAACCAAACGAATCTGTTCTCCGCACTCAACGAGACGTCTGCACCTCTTATTTTCGGCGACTTGAACAAACCCAAGCCTGCGCACCCTCCCGACACAACCATCTTGACGACGTGCGAGGCAGAAAATTCCCAGCGCATGCACGGTCGCATGTAGTCCCTTCCACGATGTCGACCGACGCTGTCAGCGCTCCAGTCTCGGAGCCTGCACCTGTGCCGGCGCAATCCACGACTGGTGACCACGACGAGGAGCCTACCCTTGGCCAGATTGAATGTGCAAAGCCCGCCTTCCTCCACTCGCCCCCCGACAGCAACAATGCGCCCAAGTCGGAACCCAGCGACTCCGAGCTCAGCGACCTCGACGACGATGCCGTTGATCCATCTGCTGCCCCTACAATTCAAGATGAGGCGCCGCCGCCGCCGCCGCCCGAGGACGACATTGGCGAAGTCCTCCCCGACCACTGGTCCGGGACCGTCCCTGTCTTCAGGCCGACGATGCATCAGTTCAAGGACTTCAAGCTATTCGTATGCCCATGCCACTTGCACTCGTGACCTCTCCCCGTGTCTTTCCGATGGCTAACCGTGACCGTATCTGTAGATGACCAAGGTCGATCATTATGGAATGAAGTCTGGCATTGTCAAGATCATCCCTCCCCCCGAATGGAAAGAAAACCTCCCAAGGCTCGACGACCTGGTGAAGCAAATTCGAGTCAGAGAACCAATTAAGCAAGACATTATGGGATCGAATGGAACCTATCGCCAAGTCAACATTCTTCATCAAAGATCCTATAACCTACCGCAGTGGCGACAACTTTGCGACCAGAGCGAGCATCAGCCCCCAGCGCGGCGAGGCGAGCGCCGAGCCAACGTCGAAAAGCCGAAACCCCGATCCGCCCCCAAACCTCGTACAGAAGCGAAATCAACTCCGGCCGGGTCTAGAAAGCGGGGCCGAGGTCGACCGCGCCGGGGTAAGGCCAAGGGCAAGAACCAGGACGATGAGGACGATGCCCAAGAAGAACAGGAGGAAGAGATGCGACCTATGACGCCCGTCTCTCCCAAACCGGCTGTGGATGCGGATGTCAAGGTTAAGAAAGAACAAATCGTCAATTCTGTTGAAGACCCCGGAATGGATGTCGACGAAGACGAACCACCCACCGTTGGCAGAATGGGTCGCATGGGTGGCGCGAGGCAAGCAAAGCCAAAGACCCAGACTGTCTCGGCCCGTCGGAAGTACAGCAAGAGAGAAGGCTCCGCCATGATTGACGAAAAGGCGTTTGAGGACTTTGATTACCAGATGGATGTCTCTGATTATACCCCCGAGCGTTGCGAGGAACTCGAGAGGATATACTGGAAAACACTCACGTACGCCCCGCCGCTGTACGGCGCAGATCTCATGGGAACTCTCTTCGACGAGTCGACAGAAACGTGGAACTTGAACAAGCTTCCCAACCTGCTGGATGTTCTCGGAACAAAGGTTCCCGGGGTGAACACGGCTTACCTCTACTTGGGCATGTGGAAAGCCACTTTTGCATGGCATTTGGAGGACGTCGATCTTTACAGCATCAACTACCTCCACTTTGGCGCTCCGAAACAGTGGTACAGCATTTCACAAGCTGATGCCCGCCGTTTCGAGGCTGCCATGAAGAACATTTGGCCCACGGATGCCAAGGCTTGCGACCAGTTTCTTCGTCACAAGGGATTCTTGATCTCCCCATCGCACCTCAAGCAGCATTACAATATCACCGTCAACAAGTGCGTTTCGTACCCAGGCGAATTCGTCGTTACCTACCCCTACGGATACCACTCGGGATACAACCTGGGCTACAACTGCGCCGAGGCTGTCAACTTTGCGCTCGACTCTTGGCTTCCCATGGGCAAGATCGCCAAACGTTGCGAGTGCGCACAGGCGCAAGACAGTGTATGGGTAGACGTATACGATATCGAACGGAAACTTCGGGGCGAGCCGACTCCCGAGTACGAGGAAACCGACGAAGAAGACGACGAAGATGAAGAGGAGGACGACGAAGACGATGCTACTGGCCTCCCGTCGCCTCCTGATAGCAACGGCATTAAGTCGGCTCGTAAACGAAAGCGCGCTGTTGGAGAAAAAGAAGGCAAGGCAAAGACCAAGCGAATCCGCCTCAAGGTCAAGACGCGCGCAGAACCGACGTGCTGCCTTTGCCCCAGCGATATTCCTGGCGCGGAAGTCTTGCCAACAGACGATGGCCGCAAGGCCCATCGGATGTGCGCTCTATACCTGCCCGAGACTTATATCGATACCGTCGACGGCAAAGAGGTTATTGCGAACGTTGCCAACATCAACAAGGAACGTCTGGATCTTAAGTGTCTTTATTGTCGTTCCAAGAAGGGTGCCTGCTTCCAGTGCTCCCAGAAGAAGTGTGCCCGGGCCTACCACGCCACATGCGCCGCTGCCGCGGGTGTCTTTGTCGAAGAAGCCGAAGTCCCAGTCTTTGGCGAAGATGGAACCGAGTACAAGGAGCAGGCTTTCGAGTTCAGCTGTCGCTTCCATCGTACCAAGCGTGATAGGAAACACACGGGTGACTCCTTGGAGGACGATGTGCGGATTCGTGAGGCTGCGGCGGCACTCACCAAGGGCGATATCTGCCAGTTGCAGTACTTCAAGGGCGACATCTTTGCTGGTGTCGTGGTTGAGAATCGCGCCGACGAGCAGATGGTCCTCCTCGATATCATTCCTAATGGGTACGTGTCTTTTGGCCACTTGAAAGAAAAAGGTCTAACACGCTTTAGCGATCGTCTCGAGGTTGAGTGGAAGTGGCTTCTGCTGCCCGATCCATCTGACTACCACCTCCCGAAGGCTTCTTCCAAGGCTATCCCGATGCCGTCGTCACAGAAAGCCAAGGATCAACTCAATGCGAAGCGCCCCGCTGACGAGATTCCCCGGAAGGATGCTCCCTTTGTTGAAGGCTACACATGGGCAGAGTTCCACCCATGCAACGATTGTTCTAATCCAAACCAGACCAAGGTTGATCTGTCGAAGGACAGCCAAGTCTGGCACTATCTCGGCAAGACATCGACCGAAGCGAAGGCGCAGTACTCTGATGATCCCGTCAAGCAGCTGCACAATCCCAAAAGCAACTTCCTTGATACTATTCCCAAGCCTTCTAAGCCTGTTTCCGCAAGCACGTCGCATCGCAGGGTGTCCGCCATTCCACCGCAACCAGCGCCATTGCCAATGTTCACGCCGGGGGTTGCTATCCAGAATGGGCCAAAGTCGGAGAAGCCGTACGTCTACAAGCCCAGAAAGCCTGTCGAAACCAATTACGCTGGTACGGGATCTTTCAGTACTCAAAAGTTCACATCCAAGGCTTCTGCGCCCCCGACTCCCGGAGGACAGCAGCTCCACTTCGGATCTGACACTCGATACCCGATCCCCGGAACCCAGTTTGTTCAAGAGAAGTTTGCTCCTGATGTACATCAGCAATACGTGCCTCGTCCCGCACCAGCCGGGCAAGGTTACTACCCACCCCTGAACACGATGCAACGGCCGAGCCCTTACAGCACCCCAGGGCCGCAACCTGCACTCGGCGCGCGACCAGCGCCACAAACGTGGTCGACGCCGTCGCAGAGCCCCAGGCCTCCTTTGCCACACAGCACTTCGCAAGGCTCAACCCAACAGAACCATCGGAGATACTCGGCCGCGCCAACGCCTTCCGTCGTTATGAAATATGCGTTCTTCCAGGTTCACCACAACAGGTCAGAATTCTCCAACCCCTGCAAGTTCTTCAGCAATACTTACACACTCAATAGAGACTCAAAAACGTATCGAACTCCTTATGCTCCATGGGGAGGGTTTACCAACGGCTATGAAGGTAACCTACGAGCTCATCTCATGCGGACATCTCCAGAAGCCTTTTTCAAGAACCGACAAGGCTCCGTTCAGGGAGGCACACCGACACCCGTTCCAAATGCTGGTCCACAGGGACCTGCTTACGGCGGCCCATACCACAACACACTGACGAATGTGATGCCTCAGGGCTCTATTGGCATGTATGGTGTTAAAACAGCAGCTCCTTATTCCTCACCAGCGCCGCAGATTCCTCAGAATCACGCCAGGACGCCGTCTTATTCATCGATATCTCCATCCCCCGCACCGAGTAGCTCTCAACCCAGCCAGCAAGGACAAAATCAGGGTTGGCATGCGCAGCAGCCACAATTGGCGCCGCTGCACCCGGCGATTCGGCCGCAGTACGGAGGTTGGGCGAACCAGCCGCAACAGCAGCATCCTCAGCATCCTCAACCAGCACAACAGCAGCCCTCGCAACAGCCTCTTCCACAGCAGACTCCGCAACAGCCCCCTGTCAGCCAGTCTCAAACTAGCCAGACGAAACCCCAGCCTGCAGCAAAGCCTGCCGCGCCGAAGGTGCAGTACAAGGTATGCCCGCATAGTATATGATATTTCTGAAGGCGGAACATTTCCAAGCTAACCCAAGGATAGATTCCCGAGAAGCAGACTCCGGTTCCCTTGCCGGCCAAGTACCTGGCGGCCATGGGCAAGATGCCTACGGCTGCTACTCCGTCCAAGGCCAATCCAAAATCAACCGGATCCTCTGTACAAAGTACGACTCCATCCCCGGCTTCTGGTCTGGAGAAGGGTTCAACCCAGGCTACATCAATGGCAGCCGTCAATGGCTCTTCACCACAAACGACTTCTTCTTCGCAAGCGGCGCCAACATCAGCTGGCATAACGACGACGACGGCGCCTCCAGTAGCTCAAGCTCCCGTGTCGGTACCGCACACGCCAGTGCCAGCTTCAAACTCTCGGATGCCCTTTACGAACCAATCAATGACAACGGCGTTCCCTCGGCAGCCTATGCAACCTCAATCCCAGGCTTACAATACGCCATCGACTCAACCGTTTCCCCCAGCGAGTCGACCACGGACTGAGCATCTCAACCCGGCAGAAATCTTGGCCCAGATTGCCACCACTCCGCGCATGAATCCGCCGACGCCTACAGCACCTTCTCATCAGTCGATGCCATCGCCAGTGCCGCCGCAGACAGCTGCCATGCCAGGCTACCAGAATCATGGTTCAAATTGGGGACCGACGCAGCAGCAGCAGCAGCAGCAGCAGCCGCCCCAAGCTTGGGCGCCACCGCCAGGACAGTGGCAACCTCAACATCACCAGCAGTATCACCAGCATCCTCCGCCGCAGCAATACCAACAGCATTATCAACAGCAGCATCGGCAGCCACATCAGCAGCCGCCACCACCGCCGCAACAACAGCAACAACAACATCATATGCAAGCACAGCCGCCGAACCCACCTCCCCCTCAAGCTCCCGAGGGCGATTTGCCTCTACCCGAAGTGCCCGCGGACTCGACAGCCCTCGTGGAGAGGATGATGCAGAATCTCCGCCGTGCTGCTTTCCAAGGCTGATGCGATACCAACCTGATTAGCACAGCACGTATACATGTTTGACTAGCGAACGATTCGAAAACCAGGAACCAAATCTCTTCAGGGGCGACACAGCCGCAGTTTGACTGAAGACGACCAAATGATAAGAAGGCGAGGGTGGATGTGTATGGAAAGAAAAGATGTGCATGATATTGCGCGGGTTTCGGCGTTTGAACGGGTGTTGGTTGGGCTAGTTCAAACATCTCATGGAAGTTTCACCTTTGAGGAGTGGTTTATGATGGATGGATGGGTCTTCATGTTTTTTGTTCGTTTCTGAGGTTTCTTTGCAAAGCGTACATTAGGTTTCGAGAAAAGACTGAGGCAAGCAGACCTACCCGGTCCTGCTTCCTAGCGTTTTGAACGTATAAATAATGCAACGTACGATATTGCCCACAGCAGTTTACTTCCTTTGTGTGTTATGTGTTGTACGAAAAAGGGTGGAAGACGACGAAGGTGAGAGGTACGTTCCCTCGTGGTCAATCTAGTTGTCAATTGTATTGAAGTCACGGGTTCACTGCAGTTTTAACCCCTCCAAAGGTAAGAGACAGGCATGCTCTCTTGAACTGAGAATGAGCTAAATATGGAAACGATTGGCTGGCAAAAGGAGACGTTTGCGCACTAGTTACACTGCTCTTTTTTTTTTTTTTTTAAACTCCCCTAGAGGCAGCAGACAGGGCCAAAGGGTTGTCACCTTGACACAAGTTGGAGCCACATTCTTATATCATACAATAAACAAACTGAAGACGAGAGACTGCATAGCGTAAGTAATGATTGATTTTTGGTCACATTTCAACAAAAAAACAGGTTAGCCACTATGTAGCTAGCTGACTACAACTTGGCCGGAATATTCTCTTTCTGTAATCCGCCAATTGCCGTCACCACACCCCCATCGATTCATGCATACTTATTGGCGACAAGCCACTCCTTCAGCTTAGCAGCATCACGCTCGCGATACGCGGCGCGACCACGGACCTTGTCCTTGACGGTCTCAAGGGTACGGGCAAAGGCGCTCGTGTCCTTGTCGGCGAAGAAGGCCTCGATGTCCTTGACGGACTCAAAGTCGGTGAACTTGCCCAGGGAGACCTGGATGAAGCGGTCGACGACAATGGGGTTTCCAAGCTTGGCGAGGCAGGCCTCCCAGTTGTTCTTGACGTAGTCCCACTGGATCTGGCGGGCGACTGAGTTGCCGGCGAGAGCGGAGCCGAGGGAATGCATGTCGGCGGACGGGATGGAGTCCGAAGCAGGGGCAGGCGGGGACTTGTTGAAGAGGAAGGGGAGAAGGTTGTTCTTGATAATGTTCTCGTCACGGACGAAGCCGAGGTTGGAGAGGCAAATCTCCTTGCCGTCAATGGCGGGGGTGGTGTACCACTCCTTCTTCAAGGCCTCGACGGCACGGGCCGTGTCGTTCTTGATGGCGACGCGGAAGACGGGCGTGCGGAGAGCGGGGTGCAGGGGGTTGGACTCGGGTGACTCGACCCAGGCGTTGAAGCGCTTGGTGGCCTCCTCGGTGACACTACAAATGTTAGTACTTATACCGACTCATCAAAGGTGGATCAGACTTACCCAGCATGGCCGTTGACACCGGCAGTCAAGAGGACTCTCTTGCGGAGGAGTCCATCAAGGTAGCTCTCGCCCTCGGGGAATTCCCAGCCCATCTTCGCCACGACGTCGTTGATAAGCTTTAGTGTGAAAGCCTCCAGACCCTTTTTGATGGTCTCGTCATCACTGAAGATGGACTTGACAAGGGCAATGGAGTCAAGGACCTGACTCCAGACCAAGTAGTTGTCCTCCTTGGCGAAGCCTTGGACAAAGGACAGAAGAGCCGCGGTGGTGCCGTAGCCAGAGAAGGCAAGGTCGGCAGAGGAGCCAATAATGGCGATCTTGTCCTCGGTGGTGAGGCGATCGAGCTGTTGACCGAGCTTCAGAAGACGCTCAGGGGGGTAGTTGACGCGGTAGAAGCCGGAGGAACCAGAGTTGAGCTTGTAGAAATCAGTGTCGATATCACGAATCGTGTCCTCCTTCTTCTCGAGGGACAGAGAAGTGACGCCCTTAGTGCCGACCTTGCCCTCAATCTCAAGAGGAATCCACCAGGTGGTCTCGTCATCTTCGGGCTTAACGTCACCAGTAGACAGGAAACGGGACTGCTTGACGGAGATCTGGCCGGGCTCCTCGGCGACGGTCAGAACAGGGTGACCAATCTTGGAAATCCAGGGGCCCATGAGCTTGTTCACGTCCTTGCCGGAGGCCTCAGTGAGGGCATCCCACAATGCCTTGGTCTTGGCGTTGCCGTATTGGTGGGCCTTGAGGTAGTTGGAGACACCCTTGAGGAAGGTCTCGACGCCGAGGTGGTTGGCCAGCATGCGAATGGCCGAGCAACCCTTGAGGTAGCTGATGTGGTCGAAAATCTGGTTAACGTCCAGGGCGTCCTTTACGGGCACGTGGATGGCGTGACTGGCTCTGATGCCGTCAAGCTTGAAAGCCATCTCCATACCCTCATTGACGAACTGAGACCAAACCTGCCACTCGGGGTGGAGGTAGTCTGTCGCGTGCCATCCAACCCAGGTGGCGAAACCCTCGTTCAACCACAACTCATCCCACCAGTCCATGGTGACCAGGTTGCCGAACCACTGGTGAGCCAGCTCGTGAGCGACAACGTAGGCAACACGGTTGCGGTATCTAGCCTCGGACGTCTTCTCGTCGAACAGCACGGCGGTAGTACGGTAGGTGACGAGACCCCAGTTCTCCATGGCTCCGTGGGTGAACTCGTGCACGGCCAACAGGTCGGCCTTGGGCAGGGGGTACTCAATGCCAAAGATATCGGAGAAGAAGTCAATGATGCGGGGCGCGTGCCACAAAGCATAACGGCCCTGCTCCTTCAGGCCACGGGTGGTGTAGACACGGACGGGCAGCTGCTTGCCGTTGTAGCGACGCTCGGTGAACTCCTCAACGTACTCAAAGTCACCGACAGCCCAGGCAAGGAGGTAGGTAGACATCTTGGGGCTGGTCTCAAAAGAAACCAGCTGCCAGCCCTCCTTGGTCTTCTTGGTGTCCTTAACGGGCATGTTGCTGAGGGCAACCTGGTCGTCGGGGATCTCAATCTCAAAGTCAAAGGTGGCCTTGAGGTTAGGCTCGTCGAAGCAGGGGAAGGCCCGACGGGCGTCGCAAGACTCGAACTGTGTGCTGAACATGTAGTGCCACTCGTCGTCGCGGGGTACGGACTTGGCGGGCTCAACGACGGGCTTGTACTTGCTGCGGTAGAAGCCAGCCATCTCGTTGTTGATGATGCCCTCAAACTCAATGGTCAGGACGGCCTTTTGTGCTTGGGGGATCTCCTCGTCAAAGGTGATGGTGGCACGCTGCTGCTTCTCGCCGTAGCTGAACTTGGTGGAGTCCCATGATTGCGTTGACTTGGTGTGGCCGACAGCGATCTTTGCGCTGAGCAGCTTGATCTCGAGAGCGTTGAGGACGATTTCCTTGGTGGGCTTGATAACCTCGGCGTCGATGCTGTGGGGCACAAGCAAGAGATTAGCATCTCGGGCATGTCTTTGGTGTGCGTGTTGGAGCTAAAGCTGGCGCTGAAGCTGGACTTCAAGCTGAAGCTGAAGCTCGGAGCTCGGGCGGAGTGAGGGGTAGGGGTATGATATTCTTACGTCACGGTTCCCTTGTAAGTCCAGTCCTTGAAGTTGAGGTCGCGGAGGGAAAGGACGTAGTGGGAGGGCCGAATCGACTCGGGGAGAACTTCGCGATCAGCCATGTTGCCGACTCTGCTGGCGTACAGTGCCTTGTCGGAGGTGGTGATGGTCGAGCAGTAGTTGCGGTGGGAGGAGGGTGCGGGGAAGAAGGAGGAAGGTCGGCGGTGGCTATTTGTCCGCGAGGCAAGCTTTATGTCAGTTTTGGTACCTTACAGTAAAGGTAGATGGGCGAGCGACAAAGAGGAGTAGCGAGACAAAGGAACAACAGGAGATTGGAAGAGCGGAAGAAGAGGAAGAAGAGTAAGGTGGTAGTAAGTAGTAGGGAGGCGGAAGAAAAAAAGAAGAGTAGTGTAATGGATTCGATCAGAAAGCTGTACCAGCTCCACAAGAGAGTGCCTTCCTACTTGGGATTATGGGCAAAGCGGCAAGCGGCAATGGGACGACTGGCGCGTGTTCGTAGACTGTAGGGTACTGTGGAAGGTAGTGGTGGTGGTATGGTTGTGGGTTTTGACCAAGGTGAAGGAGAGAGTTCCGGGGTGGATCAATGGTGATGCTCCGAGGTGAGGGGCAACGAGGGGCACACAAAAGGTCCCTGCATGGGTCAAGCTGGTAGCTCGCTGCGTTCTGGGGGCTGTCAACTCAATGAGTAGGTAAGCGTGGAGTTGCCTGCCCACCACAGCCAGACGCCGCTACGCTCGACTTGGTTCACGGGTGCGCGCAGGCACTAATACCTTCCGGTACAGGCAGGCCCAGGAATGTCCCGTTTCTTTCATCGTTGCAGTTACCAATGAGTAAGGGAAAGTGATAGTGAGGCAAGGTCTACTAGACCTTTGCTATCCGAAATGAGCGTCTCCGGGAAAACGAAAGGCCCAACAACAGAGATCATCCAACAGGAAAAGGCAACCATGAAACCAAAGGGAAACCAGGCAGGTAAGTAAGACTCACCTCGCAACGAAGGCATCGCGAGCAATCCGTCCAACATTGGGAGCCGTAGACCAGAGAGCATTAGACGTGGACGTGGTGGAAGCTGCCTTGAAGACAGACGTATTCGAAAAGTGGCGCCTGAAGCCAATATTGTACAAAGACGAAGATGATGAAGAAAAAGAAGATGACGGCGCCGATGAGCCAAAAGATGATGATGATGATGATGATGATGATGATGGTGTTACAAAAAGTGGTAGTGGTACAGACACACAGCCGCGAACCAGACCGCGCGCCGCAGGACCAAACGTCCGTCTGGCCAGCTGCCCGATCGGGTTCATCCTGCTTGATCGGTTCCCGCCCAAGGGG